TACACAATAATTTATAGAAAATATAGGTACATTATTTACCCATAGGTAAATTATTTTACAATATACCTATAAATGTGTATAGGTACATTATTTGGAGAGGAAAAATAGGTTCATTTAAAAAAATACATACATTGTTTTACTAGGTATATTATTAGAGGAAAAAAATAGGCACATTATTTGGAGAGAAAAAATAGGTTCATTTAAAAAAATTGTTTTTCATAAAACAAATAATAGGTACTTTATTCAGAGAAAAAAGCGTACATAATTTAGAGAAAAAAAAAATAGGTACATTATTTAGAGAAAAAATAGGTTCATTTAAAAAAAAAAATTTCATAAAACTATAATAAAATAGATTACTAGTAGTATAATTCATAAAAGGAAAACAACAACACAAATTTATTTAATAAACCAAAACGTTTTTTTTTTGTCATAAAATAAACCAAAACTTTTCTAATATGTTAATGTTGAATTTAATATTTAATTTCAAATAAGTTTCTAAATTAATTCCTACATCCATTACAACCATTTCAAGATCTTTCCAAATTCAACGTGTGTCATTAGTTACACCTCCATATAACACGTTAACTTGTAAATACGGGTAGTTTTGGAATCCGAAAAATAGAATAAATCAGATTTTAAGCTAGATTAGGTAACTTGCTTACTTGGATCCTAGTCAGCGGGTTTTACTTGAAAAAATTGGGTATTTTAAATAGAAAAATAAAGGAAAGGGTTGTAGGTGATTACAAATGAATTTTATGGGTCTAAGCTCAATTTACTATAAAAAAAATCACAAAAGCGAAATAGAGAATTTTGGTGGTAAAGCCGCTTATTTTCCAATCAGCACCGAAGCGAACCGCCTGCTCTGGATATTGTTGTGCGCGTTTACCTCTTTATGCTTTGCGGGGCCTCCGATCTTCGTCTCCAAGCACAAAATCTATAAATAGCACAACACAAAACTCGGATTCATATTCACAGAAAGGAAATCAAAACCCAGAAACAAAGATGGACGACAAAGAAGATACCAACAGAGTCGGCAAAATCGAGGAATCGGACCCGAAACCCGACAGGTCATCCTGGAACCCGAATCCGAATCCTAAAACCGCGAGGACGAAGGTTCCAGAAGTGGAGGTCTACTTGTATCGGCGAGGCAAAGCCCGATCGACACGTTCAGGACGAGCGTCGGGGGTTGGGACCAGAACCAGTTGGAGGTCCGAGACATTCTCGACAAGTACGGCTTCAAATCGCTTTGCACTTTCAATACCGGGTCGGGTCGCAGCGTTCCGATCCGGTTTAACCCCAGGAACGGCAGGTCTATGCTGGCTTATAAAGATGGATCTACGGTTCATATTGATGGAGAGCCCAAGGTACTTCATTTCTATATCTTTTTTTATTATTATTATTATTATTTTTTTTTAATGAAAACCCAATTAGTGAAATTAATCGACGTAAGTTTCTATTTGGTTGCCGAGAAAATTTGGTTGCATTGGGTAGAAATAAATGTAACTTTAATGTGGTCTCATAAGAGATACTGAGTTTGAGTGTGAGATAGAGAAGTGTTTATATTTAAAGGAATGCTCGGCAGGTGGACTTACAATTTATTTGCTACAAGATTCTTTGATATGCATTATGTTGCAGACAGCGGAATGTTGCAGTGACATGTGATATGTTATTTGGTGCTAGTTTTCCAACTTAATTCTTCTCTGAATGCAGGATTCCTTGATCCAACCGGTGACAAAAATCTTGCTTGGAGTAGCTGTTATAACCGTCTTGGGAGAAATTTTTATATGTTCCAGGTACACCACGTGGCTAGTGTACCATCCAATACATATAGGACATGTGGAATTATTGTCCAACTTACTGCATTTCTTTTTATGACATCTGGCGGGCTGTATTGGAAATATTCCATATGTCCTTCGTCTATTGGATGGTACACCAGTCACGTGGTGTACCTGGAACACCCAAAAATTACTCGGTTTTGAGAGATCCTCCACAGTGGGTCCAAAAATTGAACATTTCTGGTGGTAATAGTTTTTACTCGGATGAGGATGAGAACCGGAGATTTGCTGAAAAAGTATGCTTTCCCTTGTAAGGCCTTTTTGTTTCTCAAATTTTGTTAAAAAGAATTTGATTCATTATCAACTGAATTTTGAGGATGAAGCAAGTGATGCTCATCTGGACGTCGTCATAACTGAAATTGGCGACAAGTTGCACTGAAAGATAAATTGATTAGCAACAAACTTAAATTGGGTCTGAAATTCCAAACCTCGGAAACAACATTCCTAAGATCATCTTATTGGAACATTAAGATTCAAAACAATAGATTGATAAATGGGTGATTATCAACGGATGCATTATATAAAATGCATCCAGACGGTAATTAACTGGTTTATAAATAGTTACATTATTTTTCAATTTTTTTTCGGTTCGGCTTAATTACACTGGATTTTTCAATTAACTGGTTTGAATTACACTGGATGTTTGCTCGGCTCTGCTTAATTGGGTTGTGTGTGTTGCATAATGCCTTTTAGCCTAGTTGTTCCTTTTAAGAACGTATCTATAGCTCACAATACATCTTAATTTTTTGTGACTTTAATATACACTATAGCAAATGTAGTAATGTCAGTTTTCTTATAGCTCTACAATAATGTCAGTCTTCTTATAGCTCAAGAATGATTTCCCTAGCGTGAAAATGTCATCCTCTGCTTTCGTGGAAATGTGAGTACATACATTTTGACTAGATTGACACCTACTACTCATTCATAAATCATGTGGTACCTCATAAATCCAGTTCTCCAAATATTTTAATAACGAAAGTTATTATAGTTTGTTTATTTCAAGATACAACTAGCACTGCCCAATTCTACTCAACATATTGACCACGGGGAAAAATTGTCGTCTCAGACGACGCTCACTTATACGACAGCTTAATGAACGTCTTAGAATTCCATTTTGTTACATAAGGTAATTTAAAACTTAGATACGCTAATATAAGAGAAGACTGCATAATTGAAGGAGATTGCACAAACTATCAAGGAGATGAAGTGAAGCAGACAAAGTAGGAATCCTGACAAAGCAATTGATCAGTTGCAGATAAGAATCAATTGTGTCAATAAGCTAAGCTTATGATTGAAAATTCTTGTTGGCTTATTCTATCCTGCACACAACAGAATAGAGCAGTTGAAATAGTCACGTAAGTTATGTCAATAGGAATCAAACCATTATAACAAAGCTAGGTCTAATGAGCTTGTAGATCTTGAGGTGCAAATTTCATGCGAACCTGGCCAATAAGCACGCAACTACTTCTGATCAGCTCCATTATAACAAAGCTAGGTCTAATGAGCTTGTATATACTACATGATGAGAGAGAGAGAGAGAGAGAGGAATTGTCATGCACGAAACAATAAGTGATGAATCTAATGGTAAATGTATGGCTAGAAAAGATAGTGAAGGGAACTTACTAATATCAATTGTAACCGTCATTAGCCTTTCAAGTATTTATGTGCAGACATTTGAGGAGGAGGAGTTTTTAACAAAGTTGGCAAAAATTTAGCTGCTCTTTTAAGAATCACAGTTTTTATTAAATTTTTCAACAATAGCTCAAAATAAGAGGGTGCAAGGCCTAAGTAGGAAATCAAAGTGGTTACCCTCCAAATCAAAAGTCCTATGCACCCCCATTGTTCGCTAGTGTTGAAAGATTTGATAAAAACTGCAGTTGTTAAAAAGAGGGAGAAAATCTTTACAAGTTTTGTTAAAAACCATTTGGAAAGAGCATAGCTTTGGCGGCAGAGAGATTTTTGGTGAGAGCTTGCACTTGCATCAGCTGAATTGTGAGGAGAAGTAGCTTTTGTGCTGATGTTGATGGAGTGGTTCATCATCATGATTTGGTTGAGTTCTTCCACGTCTTGCTTGTGCACCAAACGGAACCCACACTTCTTTATACCCTTCTTTATACCCTTCTTGCTTTTGCAATATTTTTTGGATGATGGGGACGGAGTACGTTTCTCATAAAAAGTATGGAATGAAATCTTCATCTGACTGCATTCTTTGTCGACTACATAATGATATACACAAGATACCCAAAGGTGAGGTGACACAAGATGGCCTTTCCTAGTGTCATAACAATACGAAGGGGCACCTTTTCCTAGGCGACATTCAAATTGAAAAGAGGTAAGAAAGTCATGAGGTGGATTTGGGTGATCTTCTTCTTCAAAGACAGCACATAAAGCAATCCAAATCTTCGTGGTACATGGAGGTAGCTTCACAATTAAGGAATCTCCTACACTTTGATTATTGAACCACTCTGGAATTCTTCCTGTACCTATAATGTGGTTAGTAACTTGATTATTTATTATTATTGTAGGAAACAAAGAGAGACAGAGAGACAGAAAGAGAACCTGAAGGAATCTCCAATGCAGAGCAATCCAGAGCATTCCAAGTATTATACTATCATCGCAACCATCATTCTCAACCAATCCAGAGCAATTCAAACAACTCAACGTGACACCATTTCTTCCGTTTTTTATGCTCAACTTTGGCAACATTGTTAAGGAAGTGCAATCGTCTGTGTATATTCTAATAGCGCGGAAGTTTTCATTAACAGCCAATCCAAAGCGGAAATCGGGCAATTGTTGAAGCCTTTTGCACTCCTTCACCCAAAATGACCAAAGCTTAGGAAGACATCCAATGCTTGCAGGAAGGCTAATAAAATTGTTTCGACTAAGGTCTAATTGTTCTAAAGAGGACAAGCAGCCAATATCAACGGGAATATCCCCTTCACAAAGCTCACAATCACTCAGATCCAATTCTTTCAAAGACCACAAACCATGTAGCGAACCCAAGACAAAAGCCTTTCTTTGAAGGCCCCACCAAAACCTTGATTTATTACGCTCTAATTTACATTTCGACATATGCCAGCGCCAACCTCCATAGGAGTAGGAGAATGACTTTGAATTATTAGGCTTAGAGATCACTAAATGGCCCATCTCCTGCCTGTTTTTTTGGGGTTTATCATTGTATGAGCATCCATCCGCATAGAGCACTTCAAGAGACTTCAAATTACAAATTTCGCTCGGAAGACCAAAGAGATTTTTACAATTGCTTACATCCAGAAAAGTAAGGCCAACAAGATGTCCAATTGATGAGGGTAATTTCTCAATGGGCGTCCCACTCAAAATAAGCATTGACAAATTTTCCATTTGTCCTGAAAATTCTGGAATCTTTTCCAGTTTTGAGCAATCCTCAACACCGAAATATATAAGAGAATCCATTTCTACCTCCCTTGGAAGACTCTTAACACTTTTGCATTTCTTTAGAATTAAATGTGTAAGCCATTTGAGAAATGCAATGGACGGGTGAATCTCAACTAAATTCTCACACCCTTCAAGATTCAACACCTTGAGTTTTGGAATGCCAGTGAAATTTAGGGTTGTTGCCAAGTTTCGAGAGCAACTAAGGTCCATGTATTTCAAATTGGGCAAGTCCTATACAATATTACATGAAAAATAGTAGAATATATAATTAGCAACTGAAAAACCTAAACTTTTTTTTTTCTTCAAAAAATTTGTAATGTAGCATATGGTCAGTAATCTTACAATTCTTTCATCCCATAGCCGAACTAGTTTGCTGTCCTGCATCTCACGTGAAACAAGTTTATTCGGTTGAAAATTTGATGGGAGATATTTGGAAGAATACCGATTCCATTTCATAATTCTTAAGCAATTAGGAAGAATTCTGGGGATTGAGGAAATGATCACATTATCAACTTCAAGAAATTTCAGGTTAATCATCTTAGAGAATGCTTCACAATTCCAATCCGCCTTTTCAAGTTTTGCCATCCTTAAGGCGATGCCTTGAATTTTGTCAGTTACCTGTAATAAATATAGTAAAGGAAAAGTTAATTCTACATTTAAGTCTAATGTTGAGTTAAAAAGAAATCATATTTTCTTATAAAAAAAATAAAAAAATTGGTATTATCTACATAACTTCTTACCGTATTGTTTATTAGTACATGAATGATGTCATTAGGATGATACAATCGACTGCGTCTACCAGGCTCTTTAGGAGACTCTTGACGAACAATTTCAAATGCCATTACTTGTATCAAATCATGCATCCCAACGATGTTGTTGTCGTTTGAAATATCAATGGTTAGGAGCGACTTCTCAACCAGAGCATTTATCCCACCACAACTGTCACAACTGTCTAGTATTTCAATTACTTTATTCTTGTCCTTCCCCTTGAGGAAAAATGCAACATTAAGAAATATATTCTTGTTCATCTCATCTAGTCTCTCAAAACTGATTTTGAGCAAATCGAAAATTTTTGGCTTAGGAATTTTCCGTAGCTTATCCAATTCATTTTTCCATTCATCTCGATCTCTCTTATACACAGAGCCTCCCAAAATTCTAAGAGCTAATGGAAGGCCTCCAGCATAATTTACAAAGCACTTGGACAATTCCCAAAAACCTTCCTCAGGCTCAAATTTTTTAAAGGCGTTCAGACTAAAGAGCTCAAGAGCCTCATCATCACCTAATCTCTCTACCTTATATGATATCTCCACATCATGCTTTTTAACCAACCGTTCATCTCTAGTTGTAATGATGATTATACTCCCCTTACCAAACCAATCCTTTTCCTTAGCAAATTTCTCTAGTTGGCTTGATGCATTCACATCATCAAGAATGAGAAGAACCTTTTTATTACATAAGCAACTCTTAATGAAATAGGTCCCCCACTGTTCATCCCAAACTTTAGTAATCTGTTCCTTCAAAATCGGGGAAAGCAGCTGTCTTTGTAGATCAACAAGACGATTACCTTCAGAAGCCTCTCTAACATTAGCAAGAAAGCAGCTAACTTCAAAATGAATAGAAATGCTTTCATAAACAAGCCTAGCAATGGTTGTCTTGCCAATGCCTCCCATCCCCCATATCCCTACAAAGCGAACATCATCTGTAGGATCTAAAAGCAAATCTATTTGCTCACGTGTAAACTTAATTCCAACTAACTCTGTGGAATCTAACAGTTTGAATATGCGATGCACTTTCCCCCACACCCATTCAACAATCTGTTCAATGAGCTTTCTTTCACACCTACAAGGAAGAACCATGACTAAGTCAAAAGTATAAGCCATAGATATAACCCAAGTATATATGGAGAAGTTGCTTACTGATTCTTTGAATCCAACCCAGATAAATTGGCAACTTCTGTTAAAGCAGCTCTCCAGCGCTTCACCTTTTCTATGTCTTCCCTAAACCTTTTCTCATGCTCAGCGAACGCCCCTGCAAAACTGCCGCTTTGTTTTCGCACAACGGAGGGATCCACATTATAAAACACTGGCAGAACTGTGCCGTTGGATTTCATGCATTGGAGAATCTTTGTAAGTTCATCCAAGCACCAGGAAGAAGAAGCATAGTTTTGCGAGAGAACAACGATTGCAAGCCTTGATTCTTGGATTGCTTTGAAGAGCTCAGAAGAAATGGTTGTCCCTCTCTCAAGCTTTGGATCATCCTTGAATGTTTTAATGCCCCTGTGCTGCAATTCGTGGTATAAATGGGACACAAAGTTATTTCGAGTGTCTACACCCCTGAAACTCAAAAACACATCGTAGTTCCATTGAGGAGGAGCCGACTGATCAGCTGAAGGATGAAAAGCAGAGGCTCTTTGGGAGCTCAACGCCATTGGAAATCTGCTACTGCTGCTGTAAACACTACTCAATGAAACAAGAACTTGGCTAATTAAATATTCAAAAATCCAAACACTCAACTGAATAAATACGAAGATGATCATAAATGGCTTGAAAAATGAAAAAGATTGAAATTGAAATTTGGTAAAATGAAAAATTAATAAACCCGAGGAAAATTACTTGCGTTGAAGGCATATAATGCAGCAGAACAAGTTTCAGAGCAACTGGGTAAATTTAGATAGTCAAACATGGTGTCAATTTGGACCATGTCTACTTCCAATTCAGCAGAGAGAAATTCAACATTAAACGACCAATTTCAACATTAAATAAAAAATACGATGTCATCTCAAATAATGGGTGAACTAAAAAACTCAAATACTTTATCTTAATGTTACCTGAACAAAGCAATTATGAAATGGAGACAAAGCCAGAGAGAATTGGTAAGACCAACAATAATAAGCTAACAGCCTCAGAAAAGAGACAGAGAAAGAAAGAGGGAGAGTATTGGCGAGGCGAGCACACGGTTTCTCTTGGGTCAATGATCAGGCCAATTATTTATTTTTATTCTTGGTGTGGTGATAATTTTTTATTTATTTATTTTATTTTATTTTATTTTTATTCTTGGTGTGAGAAAAGGCAATTACTTGATATTTCCCTCAGATCAATCAATAATATTCCCAATAAGAAAGGTGAAGGAAATTACCCGAACAACACCCTCCCTAGCTGACAAAACAAGAATATCTGAACAAGAAAAAGAAAGGTGCTTCTTTAATTTCTTCAATGTTCCATTTATGAGTGATTGGAGCAGAGTAAATCAACATACGATTAATCAACAAAAGACTATTTTCTTTTCTTCGGTAATAATCAACTATAGACTTTAATTTCAGGCATTATATTGAGCTTCCAAAATTAAAGTTAATTACGTTGATTTAACCCGAAAAGAAAAAAAATCAACACCCCAAGCACTACGCTCAGATTTATTGGACAGATGAAATTGGATATGCAGAACCCTTGCAATTTGACTTGGCCACCATTAGAGTTTCCACAGATGACTTTTCTGAAGCAAATAAACTTGGACAAGGTGGATTTGGATCTGTTTACAGGGTATGCAATTCCCATCCCCATCCCCGTTAGCTTTTTCCCCCATCCCCACCTTCGTTGGGGAATGGGTTCCCCGACCCGCTCCAAAGGAATAACCAATATATAACGGACCCTTCAAACCATCTAAACAGACCGAGAGCTCTCTTGAGAGCTCTCTTCCTCCTCCTCCATTTTGAGAGTCTCTGGCTTCTCCCCACCCGAAATGGGTGTTTTTCCCCTGAGCTTTGTCTCAGATCTGGGGCTTCTTGCCTCCACTTCGGTTTCCTTTAGTTTTTTTCTGGTTTTCCCTAAGTTAAGCCCACTATGTGAGACCCTATCTCTCTCATCTCTCCATCTCCTTTCTTCCCCAGCCACCTCCACTTTCCACCCTCCACTTCCTACATCTACACTCTTCTCATCTCTTCCTTGTTTTAATGTCGTCCACCCTTGGCCAGCGACTTCGTCTGGCTGCCAGCTCTCAACCATCACCGTTTGCTCCTCGGTTCCTCATCCGCCGCTCCCGTTGTTCTTCCTCGGTGGTGTGTGGTGGTCCGTGGCTGCGATTAAAGTGCAAACTGCACTTGACTCTTGGATTATGGGAGCGCTTCCGTGCGGGTGGCCTGCTCACCCCCATCTTCCGTTGGCCTGTTTGATACCCCCTGGTATCGGTTACTCCTCCTTGGTGGTGGTGGATCTGCTCTTGGTGTTGTTGTTGGCATACTCAGTGGTGCGGCGGCTCCTTTGTTCTAGATCTAGGGTTTCGTTGTGTAATATTTTATGGGCTTTTGTTGTTTTATGGTTTGTATCTATGGGCTGGCTTTATTTGTTGGTGTTGGGCTGCATTTAATTTGAGTTTTTTTTCTCATTTTGTAATGTTTCCCACTTTAATGAATAGAGTTTCCTTGACCAAAAAAAAAAAAAAAAAAAATTGTTCTGAAATGTTGTCCCTTTACATTGTTCTAGCCTTCCCATTCTACTTCTTTAGAGCATCTCCAAGGGAGATGTTAAATGTTAAATGTAAAATTTGAATTTGATGGCTTACGTAGCAATTTGACACTTTGAAAAAAATTGAACTCCACCCGAAATGCCAAATATCATATTATTTTATTATATTTTTAAAAGCAAATTGGCCCATATGATGCATAAGGTTTGAAAAGATAGTAAATTATAGTGGAGTCCATGACTAAAAAATTATTAAAATAATATTTGACATCAAGCTTATGATATGTTATTTTAAACATATTTCTTCTAGCCTTCAAATTCATGTAGGATTTGACTATTCCGTTGAAGAAACTTTAACTTTCAATTTTTGTCATTTCACTAATGCAACATGGTATATTTATGATGAATTAGAGATGTTTAATGAACTTGCTTCTTAAATTTTTCAATAAAAAAAAAAACTTGCTAATTGATTATATTGACGTAGCATTAGATTTATGGTATTTGATTTTTTTTTACATGTCTTTTCTGCCACAAGTTGCTGTAAGCTAATTGCTTGTGAAAGTACCAGTAAGTACCAGTAAGTACTAATTTATTTTCCAGTGTAGTATCGTCACTCCTATCATAGTAACTAACACATATCCAATTTTTTTGCCCATATAAATAGAGGGAAATATCAAGCTTTTTTTTATATCAAAATATCAAGCTTTTTATCGTCACTTCTGTTGAATGAAAGAACATTTTAATTGATTAAAATAAGGGGAAAGCTCAATGATCATTTACTTATTGGAAAATTTTGACCTAATCAGCATAGCTGATTGATCTGATTTTTAATTAATTTCATGAGGTAGCTCCTCCAATTGTCTTTAATGGGAAATCATTGATGTAAGTTCTACCCTTTACCATCTTTTTTTCGTGATTTTGTTTGTTTCTTGAGTATAATATTCTCTAGTCAGTTGATTGACCAATGAAAATTTAGCATGGAAATTACTACTAAGTCAAAGTACATTTTGAGAAGCCATCCGTGAAAGGAAATGACTTGCCTTAGCTACTGCATTAAACACATGTTTTAGCGATTGGTAGTGTTACTGAATTGGGGGAGTGCGATGTCGAATTGCAAAAAACTGAGCAGCAACATGTCTCTACTCCTTAGGGTATGTTTGGTACGCTTCACTGGACTGGACTATGCTAAATAGCACTCGAAACCCATGTTTGGTAATAGACGGGACTAACTTAAATGAGACTATATAGTCCAATAGTGAAAAAAAGGCCTCACTCGCCCGTCTAATATAGTGAGCCTGAAAAGTGGTTCACTAAATAGCACGTTCCTAAATAGAACACGCTAGTCCGACTCCTCTCTTTAAAAAATATTAGGATTTTATTTGTTTTCTTTTTATTATTGTTTTAAATTTTTAATTGGGATTTTTAACATTTATTTATTTATTAGGTCAAAATCCGTAATTAAATTTAAATATTACAAGAATTATTTTGATATTGCATTTGACCACATTTGTATTTGGAAAATCAAACTATAATAATTGACAAATGCTTGATATTCTTTTTATATTGAAACAAGTTTAATAATTCATGATGTGCTGCTTTCTTTATCGCAAGCAATTATTACCTTGTTAAATTATATTTTTCAGTTTAAAGTCAAAAGTCAAATATACAAAAATTATACACACACACACATATATATATATATTTTAAATTATTTTTTACTTGGTCTTCCATGAAAGACGTAGAATTATATAGAGTGAGTTTAGCTCCTTAGTAATGTTTCGACCAACAAAAAATAGAAGATTTGTAGTAGTCTTGGGGCAAGGCTAAGGAGCAACTAAGATAAATCTTGAGAAGCCAAAAAAAAAATATCAAAATTTTATTCTTCATAAACAATCATAATTTTATTTGTTTTATTGTTTTAAATCTTTGAATTGTGTTTCTTTGTAGCATTTATTTATTTTTAGGTCAAAATTTCAAATTAAATTTAAATATTACAAGAATTATTTTTTAGTCCGACGCAGCACCAAACATAGGTCTTCACTATTTTTACAACTCAGCTTCTTAGTCCGACGCAGCACCAAACGTAGGTCAGTACTTAATACAGCTTAGTCCAATCCGAGCTAATCCAAGACAGTCCCAGGATTTAGTCCAGTCCATGACAGTCCGCCGTACCAAACGACCCCGTAGGGAAGAATAATCCCTACTTGTGTAAAAAAATCCTTCTTATCTTTTAGCTGGAAAGGGAAGAATAAATTAAACTAGAGTTGTTGTCAAATTATTAAATAAAGATCTCTGTTTTACAGAAGAGAGTCGGGTCAAAGAAAAAGAGAGGTGAAGGAAATTACCCGAACAACACCCTCCCTAGCTAACAAAACAAGAATATCTGAACAAGAAACAGCTCCAGGGCATTCCCTCTCCAGTGCTTCTTTAATTTCTTCAATGTACCTAAAGTTTCTCATCCCAAAGCTCATGGTGTGAAAAATAGCCAAAATGAAAAGAATTAAAACAGGGGAATAAGTACTGATCTATTGGATAAAATCCAATTCGGTTCTATATAGGTTTCAAAAACAAACTAAAAAACTGAAGTGCTTTTAGATCTAATGGTCCCTAAATTTTGACCTGATTCGCATTTTGGTCATTCGATTTCCAAAATCGTTCCCATGGTCTTTCAATTTCACTTTTGTTAGGACAAATAGTCCTGCCATCAATTTTGTTATTTTTTACGTTAAATGCAGAGGTAAAATGGTACTTTTGTATTATTTTTATTTTCTACCATCTGAATATTCATTTCACTCAAAAAATAAAAATAAAAACTAAAAAACCTTCTTCCTATCCTCACCATCGCATGGAGGGTGGGGGTGTCGTTGTGGGAGCACCATTAGTTGTTGCCGGGGTGGTGGGTTAATTGACTTGGTGTCAGGTGGAAGTTGTCCATGGCTTTGTTGGAATATTCAGATGGTGGAAATTAAAAATAATACAAAAATACCATTTTGCCCCTACATTTAACAGAAAAAGTTAATAAAAATACTGTTATAAAACTAGGGAGAATTGTAGAGAGCAATAAGAGGAAGAGAAATACAGAGAATTTGTTCTATGAACTTGTATCAACTTATCTTATTCATCTTTGATAAGCGCCTATTTTATAGGCTTACGATAGAGGTATTTCACCCACAATTTATAGCTACTAATTACAATAATAAGGGCATAGGTTACAAAGCAATAAGGGGTGGAGGTAATGGATATTATGGTGGTCATCCACATTCCATAGATTTATAACACTTCCCCTTGGATGTCCACCATACAATGACATTGTTGCCTCATTAAAAACCTTGCTTGGAAAACCCAATGGGACAACA